ATTGGGTACTATAGGGAACATGGAGAAGACCGAGGGGGTGGTTTGTGGTGCTACCTTCTGTTTGGGTTGTGGTTAGGTGTGACCCGTGTCGTCGGTCACGCCTCACAATGCCTCGTATTGCCCGCAGGGAACGAGAGAAACTTGCCGCGGTGTGTTGATCGCTGAGAGGATGGCAGAGGATGCTTACGACATGCTGGATTCGGTCCTCCGATTCAAGACTAGAAGACCCCAATTCCTGGGTCAGTCCGGTGGTCTAATAGATAGTTGGGGCATTGGTGATGACTGTCATAAGTCCTGTTCAGCCCCTTTTCCTTCATCCTCGCCTCCACTAGCTAGTTTCCAGAACGACTGCGTGATACGCGCCCGCCCGAACGCCTCCGTCTCATCCCCCCATCAACTCCTTTATCTCATTTCGTACCTCGCGGAGAACATCAGCCCCCTCCTCGCCCCAACGGTCTGTGTTCTTCTCTGCTGGTGGCGGAGGAAGTTGCTGGCTTTGAGATGGATGCGCAGTGCTTGTGCCGGCAGCATTCACTGCATTTGAGCCACATTCTACCCCGCATGAATGGACAGTTGAAGGCGAGCGACTGGTGGGGGCATTGGCCAATGGGGAAGGACATCTAAGCTGCGGCGATTGGGCGGTGCCGTGGACAGCTGCTGCTTATGCATGGGCAAGCGGACGGCTGTAGCTGATGCATGGGCAAGTGAACGGCTGCCGCTGATGCATGGGCAAATGGCGAGGGGGAGCGCCGGTGTGGCAAATCAGTAGAGTGATAGGGTCCCCTGTCTGACCACCTCGACTGCCAGATCGCTGATCTGCCAAAGGTGTGTCAATGTCGGGAACAGGCGGACTGGTGCTCTGGCTGGCCGTCGGGTGAGAAACCACCTCCTCGACTCCTCGGTTCCGATCAAACCCGCTTCTACATTGCACACAATGCGATTAATAATATAATCAGATGTAGGCGCCTCTTGCACGGCATTGGAACCTTCCCTCCCCACTGCGAAAAGGGACTCAGGAGCACCTGCATTGCTGCCAGAATGGCCACGCAATGCCGGTGACGGAGTAGACGAACTTGCACGCATGCCACACACGCATGCCACTCCCATCACGATGACCTGAATTCGCAGGTGATACACCTGCACACAAAGTGTGAGATCGTCACATTGCGACGGAGAATGGACTGCTGTTGGCTCGCTTGCACGTGGCTTGCCAGGTGAGCGGCCCTCCGCCATGGCCATTGCGCGCATCCTCAGCCGCTGTCTCAGGGCATGCTTGTCTTCTCCACCCACACCACACTGGAACCCCGCAACTGGCATCACAGGTGAACTGAATCCCCCGCCTGCCGTACGATCCCTGGACCGCGGAATGTTGTCCGAGCGTTGTGTGACGTCCACCGCTGGTGTCACACGCCAAGCCCCAGAGCATGACAGAGGGGTCCCACCCCCTGTGGAAAACCTTGCAGAGAAGTCGGGGACACCACCTTGCGACGCTGCTACTTGTGTGCCCAGTGTCCTCAAATGGGAACTGCATCTCCTCGGAGTTGAAGGATGAATCACGCCGTGGCGGGTTTGCAGTTGGGGAACATGACCTCCGTCCCACAACGTCAGCTGCTGCCTCATTAACGGCCATGGGAGCATGACAACTGACATCTTGGGACTCCGAGTATCCCCAATCCAGGATACCAGAAAGTCCCACATGGTCTGGATTCATGCACATGTTGGTCAGCTGTATTGTGCGATCCAACGGCTGAAAAAAATACGAACTTTTTAGACCGTCTTCGTCTTAAGTAACAGACAATTAGGACATGTCTGTGGTGTGCTGTCGCCAGCGAAAACAGCAATGAAGAAGACGAACGGCCTTCAGGAATGGACACCGCTTCTGCCAGCATTTGGGGCAACACAGCAAACGGGGGCACAAAGAATGACCGACGGGAGTTTGTCTGGCACGGTACCACCACTACATTCCCATAAGGTTGGCAGATTGGATGGCCTCCCAACGCCCCACCTCTGGCCAACGCCCACACCTCCGCCCCACCTCCGGCCACTGGCCACACCTCCACCGTTTCCACAGGCATACCAGCCATATGGGAGGCACCCCCACAGAACTTCCTAACAAACGAAACTTCCCGGAACCACGACCAGGAACACGAATATGACGCTGAATATGACCTCAATCTGTGGAAAGAACACTTGTAGAGTGAAGGGCTATTCGACGTACAGAGGAGCCGTACTTTGTGGAGCCTGCACACAGCTGACATGCCGTGAACTTGAGAGCACCCTCGGAAATTTTTGTTTTTGACTTGGCTTTCAAGGCTGAGAGCGAAGGAAACGTTCGCAATATCACCCCCCACCTCTTCAGTTTGCAAAAACGCTATGAAGTCGCAAAGAAAAATAAAAAAGCTAAAAAGAAAAACACTTCATTTTCTTCACGGCGTTCACGCTCATTGGATGGCATTACGGGCCCTTGCCCGTGGACAATGAAACAAACCTCGGTCGTGGACGCGTCCAAACTGCTGTCCCCCAAGCCACACGTGATCTAAAACATAAAGCTACCATGGTAATATGCGTCTAGTGGGACCCGACCCCAGATACAGTGATAACGACCGGTAGTAATGCAATCAGACTCGCTCTCATTCACACTTCACATGCATGTAAACAGGTTGCGCAGCAAACTGGCGACGAGCGCCCACTCAAAACTCAGAGATATGGCAAACAAGAACACAGTTCAGATACAACTCGCTTCAGATGGCTATGGCGACTCAGCGCCTACACAAGTCTCTGATCGTCACTCACTCATCGCTGCTCATCTCACACGGATCACCTGGATATCCCACACGCATACTCTGCACACTCACACACTCACACACTGAACTCTGTCTACAGCTATGGCGGCTATGGCCGCTGCTAAGTTGTTAACCTATCGCTATGGCTAAGCTCCTTCTCTCTTGCCCACTTCGTCTTCGGGCTCACTGCAGACCACCTCGCACAAGTCGCTGTGGCAGCGCTTCCGCATGGCCCACGTAGGAATGAATGAATGGCTGGGCGCTGCCCTTTGATTTATACTTCTGTGGCTCGTTGGTCTGGCCCTTTCCCATGCCTGTAGTGCACACAGTCCCATGCGGTACTTGCTTGACTGGACTAGGACTGACTGGGACTGGGACTTCTGACTCAGCACAGGTAGACTCCACCACTTGCCCACTTGCCTCAACCTAAATGTGGGCAACTTCGAAAGGTCACTGCCAGGACCTTCCGGAAGGCCGTGGACTTGGCCTTTCGATACTGTAGCAGCTACCACCTTGACCCTTCAGGACTGTAGCAGCTACGACCTTGACCTTTCGGAACTCCCACAGCTACGACTTCCAGAACTCCCTAAGACTTCTACTCGACAGGTCTACAGATCGAACCCCTGCTACCTATGGACCCCTACGGCAGTCTACCAACTGTTACAAATACACAGGTCATGGGTTCAACTCTCGGGGTCGACACAGATACTGTACGCAGGTAGGGTGAGGACTAGGGATCGAGCCCTGGGATCTGCATCGGCTACTGCAAACTGGTGAATACCGTTTCAGTAATACGCGTCTGGTGGGACCCGACCCCAGATACAGTGATAATGACCGGGCATTTTATTCGGGTGAAGACAGTGGACCACAGTACCCTTCGTCCTGGTGCACCCACTTCCCTCTCTACAACTTGGTTTTTTTTTTTGCCAGGAATGCCGGAAGTCATATGGCCAAAGCCAGCCCTGAAAAAAAAAAAGAAGCCAGCAATGCTTTTTTTTTTTAATAATAAAAAAAGAAAGAAATGGGTGTTGAATCTTGTGATCAAAGTTTAATAGTTTATGCAATCACTTTCATGACTTTTACGTTTTTTTTTTTTTGTTTTTTCTTTTTGGGCTAATTCGTTTAAGCCCAAGCAATTCGATCACCTGTTGAATCTGACAGAGAGTACAACGGGGAGCCCCGTAGTAGCAGCCAGCCCGATTTCGAGCCTCCAAGGAGGGAACATGACATGCGGGGGTTGCACCCTACCTGCAGGTGGGTTATACCGGCCAGGTGGGGCAACTGGTAGCATCAGGGACCACGGGGCTCGTTCCACTACCCTTGACTTGACAAAAATCTCAAGGGTGGCCCTACCACCGCGCTTGGGCCTGATCGTCTTTAAAAAATCGGACACTTCGTTCTCATTCCACTACACCCTACAGTTCGCGCTTGGAAAACCGAGCGGGAACATGTGCGGCACCCTCTACTTCATGTGGTTCACTCCGCAGGTCCGTCATTGGCCCAGGACAACTGTAGTCGGAAAAAAAATAAATAAAAAAAAATCACCTCACGGCAGGCGCTGGCGCCCTTTTCAAGGAAATTTAAAATTTTAGTCACCTCCACCGCTGGGAGGTGACTTGGAAACTGGCCCGATTCGCCTGGGCGCACTACAGCCGCCCTTCACTTTCAGAGCGGGGGTTTATTTCGGAGGAGGAAACGTTAATCACTGTTCGATCGTGATTAGTGAATCTCAAGGGCGTAGTGGAACGGGGCCGGCCTTGAGATTTTCTCAAGTCGAGGGTAGTGGAACGAGGCCCCATGCCAACGTGACCAAACAATCCCTTCGCCTCCCCTCCAGTGACCCTCCGCCTTAGGAACAGCAGCAGTCTCTACTGAATGCCGCCGAGTGGGGGGTCCAACGGGCTATCTCTAGGTGGCGGGCGCCAAGCGTACCCGGCAGGGTACATGAGGCCAATGGGAATTGAACCCAAGACCTCCTGAATGCCACTTGCGTGCCTTACCAACTGAGCTTGGCCGATGGATGACTTTTACGTTTTGGACATACTGTGTGTTTCTATTTTTCTTTTCTCTTTTTCTTTTCCCGTTTTTTTTTTGAAAATTTCTTCCTTTATACACAACCATGCATGTGTGTTTTCTGATTGTCTGCATCTAAAATTGGATATGCTCTTCTCCTTCCTCTTCTTCTTCCTCTTCTTTTGTCGTTTTGTGCGTGTCTAGAAAAATGTGGATGAGGCTGTGAACACCCTAAGGAGCGAGGGAATCGATGTGATGGGCGCTGTGTGTCACGTGGGCAGCGCACAGCAAAGGAAAGCGTTAGTCAAGGCAACTGTCAAGGTATGGTACCAGGTTTGGTGGAGGAACCAGGTCCAACTTTCAGGAGCGGTGGGACCAGGTTTGATTTTGGGGTGTGATCAGGTGTTTGGGCCATTATGGTTGCACGAGGGAATGTGGGCTGCTCGTGCTCAACTACATCAAAACGTGCCGAGTGTGACAATCGTGCAGCTGTGTGAGATGGTCGCACGTCTGACAGGAGAGAGAGAGAGAGAGAGAGAGAGAGAGAGAGAGAGAGAGAGAGAGAGAGAGAGAGAGAGAGAGAGAGAGAGAGAGAGAGA